ATAAGAATTATAATCATTTTCTAGTTAGGTTCATGGATAACCAAGAAATGGACCGAGAGGCACAGAAAACATGCCAAGGTTGCCATATCCTATTGTGTGATTCTCAAGATTCATGACGCTTGGAGGCCATGTCTTCCATCTTGTGGCAGCATGTATTTTAAAAAAAAAAAACTATGAGAATGTGACAGATTGTGATTTCCAATGTTTTCCAATACATATTCTGGCAACTGACACAGAACTTGTGGCACAGGCGTAATGAAGAACAATATCTATATGTTGTATAGGTAATGTAATAACTTTATGTAATTTAATATACTCTTTTATCTTTTTGTTTTCAGACATATAAAAAAAATCACTTTGTTATTTATTTATCCAAACTCAAAGTGACAAATTAAAAATGTTCCACAGTGGATGGCATGATACAAATTGTTAATGTAACATATGTATCTGAGCCGTGATTGTAAGGATTACAGTGAGTGAAGGGTTAGCAATTTCTTATGGGAATAAATGGAATCACAATCACCAAAAATTGTGGAGATTCTGGCCTCTACCCTACAAATAACTCCCCCGTCCAGCTCATTTCCAATGGTGCCCAGCCCTTACCAGTATATTAATGCCAGCCCCGCATGCTCATCTCTGCAGTATAACAGTGCCTCAACCAATGCCTTTTCTTTTTTGGGCTGGGAAATATCCATTAGACTTATGCATGACAAAAAAAAGTCTGACTTGCCCAAACCTATTTGTTCAACAAAAAAAATTGGTTTGGATGAACTGGGATTGATCCATGTGGCGTTTTGGCTTGGATACATTTTTTATCCATGCAATCCTTTTGAAAAAAACAAAATGGTTCAAAAATGTGTCTATTACTGAACCGCAATGCTATTAAAGGACCACTATAGGCACCCAGACCACTTCAGCTCAATGAAGTGGTCTGAGTGCCAGGTCCCCCTAGTGTTAACCCTGCAGCTGTAAACATAGCAGTTTCAAAGAAACTGATATGTTTACATTGAGGGTTAATCCAGCCTCTAGTAGCTGTCTCCCTGACAGCCACTAGAGGCCGCTTCCGCGATTCTCAATGCGAAAATCGCATTGAGGACACGCTGGACGTCCATAGGAAAGCATAGAGTAATGCTTTCCTATGGGCGGTTTGAATGCGTGTGCGGCTCTGGCCGCGCATGTGCATTCGGAGCTGACGTCGGGAGGGAGAGGAGAGGACACCAGCGCTGAGGGAGCACTGAAGCAGGGGGGACCTAATAACCCTATAATGCCAGGAAAACTAGTTTGTTTTCCTGGCACTATAGTGCTCCTTTAAGTGAGAACTTTCATAATGACTGGTAGTAGGAGGAGTCATTTATTTGAGGGTTTTCTTTTATTCACTAACAGATTTAGATTTAGAAATTTAGGAATTTGAAGGCAATTTGCATCTTTGGAGGTAGCAGACATAGGCACACCGCAAGAGTCAGACAGGCATGGCAAAGCCGCTGCCATGAGAGGCATTTTAAAAAAGGAAGAGTATCATAGATTTGATTGTGATGTTTAATATCAAGAACACAAAATTTAGGCTAGGAACAAAATCCACCCAAAATATAACCAAATTCACGGAGTAAAAAAACATCAAAATCCAAGCCACAATATATCTTGCACACAAGAATGTTTAAAGGACCACTCTAGGCACCCAGACCACTTCAGCTTAATGAAGTGGTCTGGGTGCCAGGTCCTTCTAGGGTTAACCCATTTTTTCATAATTATAGCAGTTTCAGAGAAACTGCTATAATTATGAATGGGTTAAGCCTTCCCCCAAAGCCTCTAGTGGCTGTCTCATTGACAGCCACTAGAAGCGCTTGCGTGCTTCTCACTGTGATTTTCACAGTGAGAGCACGCCAGCGTCCATAGGAAAGCATTGTAAATGCTTTCCTATGAAACCGGCTGAATGCGCGCGCAGCTCTTGCCGCGCGTGCGCATTCAGCCGGCGGGGCGTAACGGAGGCGGAGAGGAGGAGGAGAGCTCTCCGCCCAGCGCTGGAAAAAGGTAAGTTTTACCCCTTTTCCCCTTTCCAGAGCCGGGCGGGAGGGGGTCCCTGAGGGTGGGGCACCCTCAGGGCACTATAGTGCCAGGAAAACGAGTATGTTTTCCTGGCACTATAGTGGTCCTTTAAAGGAACACTATAGTCACCTAAATTACTTTAGCTAAATAAAGCAGTTTTAGTGTATAGATCATTCCCCTGTAATTTCACTGCTCAATTCACTGTCATTTAGGAGTTAAATCACTTTGTTTCTGTTTATGCAGCCCTAGCCACGCCTCCCCTGGCTATGATTGACAGAGCCTGCATGAAAAAAAAACTGGTTTCACTTTCAAACAGATGTAATTTACCTTAAATAATTGTATCTCAATCTCTAAATTGAACTTTAATCACATAAAGGAGGCTCTTGCAGAGTCTAGCAAGCTATTAACATAGCAGGGGATAAGAAAATCTTAATTAAACAGAACTTGCAATAAAGAAAGCCTAAATAGGGCTCTCTTTACAGGAAGTGTTTATGAAAGGCTGTGCAAGTCACATGCAGGGAGGTGTGACTAGGGTTTATAAACAAAGGGATTTAACTCCTAAATGGCAGAGGATTGAGCAGTGAGGCTGCAGGGGCATGTTTTATACACCAAAACTGCTTCATTAAGCTAAAGTTGTTCAGGTGACTATAGTGTCCCTTTAAGTACAAATTGTTTAACATCTGATAAGAAAACATATACTACTATTTGCAGTATCCTCTCTCTTAATTCAGCATAGCTGTGTAAATAACTGAAGTAGTGAAATAAAATCTCTCCATTCATGAGTTTGTCTCTATCTAGACATCAATGTTCCTGTATGTCTATCTCTCAGGTCGTCACTGGCGTACGAGCGCAGGCTGGCTTTGTCTGTGTCTATCTGTACGTGATAGTCTCTGTGCATGAGTGCCTGTGTGCTTCTGTTTGTCTGTCTGCACAAATGTTTGTCTGTATTGCAATTATGTCTGTATGCGTCTATACATGTCAGTCATTTCTTGTATCTCACTGCAAGACTATATTTTTAAATATGTATTTCTGTAAAGAATGTCTGCCTATATAATTATCTGTCTGTGCCCTCCACTTTGAAGGAGTTAAAAAGACACTCCTAACAAAACATTCTATGTATTTTTTATTTGAAAAAAAAAGTTCTGTTTGTTTCACTTTATTTATTTATTTACATTTAACATGCATGCATGTATCAATCTTCGAATTCATTTCCGTATGAAAATGTTTCCCCAGCGTCTGTATCAGACCGATTGCAATATTTGACCATTTGTGATAGCACCTCCCTCCCTGTTCCAGTCACATGTGGTGTTCCCCAAGGCTCTATATTCAGCCCGGCACTATTCACATTATTTATAAATGATCTACCTAACGTCTGCAA